GGAAGACTCGGTCAAAATAATCCGTCTGGTCAAAAATAGAGAACCACTGGTGAGTTTTGGTCCCCATTTTGTGCTCAGGTGTAAGTAGATGTCATGATAAAGCCAAATCTGATGAGCACATACTGTTTATTCCTCTCTTTAAATTAGGCTGCTTCTGTGTCTTCAACTTTTAAAACAAATGGAGCATTCATATATAAAGAATATGGTTTAGAAAAAATGAAAATGAAGCCAAATAAAAAGATAGACATTCTATTGGTTATAAATAGCAGTAATTTTGAAAATGTGATCTAATACATTTATAAGAAAAAGCATAAAACATACCAAGTATGGCTGATGTCAGATTAAATGGTGCAACTAAAATTGCTTTTGTCTGTTCTGGAAAGTTGATTTATTTTAAAGTAATGAGGGGAAATTAATCAGGTGTCTGATATCCCAAAATGTACATATAACCGTTTATTTTAGCACCAGAATTTATACAGTGTTGAACTACGTCAAGGGGTCTGTGGTAGGTAGAATAATAATGCCTTCTTTCCCTCGAAGATGTCATTACATAGTCCTCAGAACCTATGAATATGTTACTTTACATGGCAAAAGGGACTTTTCATGATTAGGTTAGGGTTCTTGAGATTGAGATATATCCTAGATTATCTCAATGTGATCACAAAGGATCTTACAAAAGCAAAAGAGGGAGGCAGTAGGGTCAGAGTTGAGGCAGGAGAGGCAGCGATGGAAGCAGAGTCTGTAGGAATGTGGCAGTGAGCCTAGGAGTCTCCAGAAATGGCAAAGATCCGATCCTGCCCCAGAGCCTCCACAAGGAATGCAGCCCTGCCAACACCTTGATTTTAGTCCCATTTTGGCTTTCCAACGTCCAGAACTATAAGATAATAAATTTGCATTGTTTTAAGCCACTAAATTTGTGGTTATTTGTTACATCAGCAATAGGAAACTAATACAGGGTGTATCCCATATTTTCTATGAAACTACATTCAAAAGAAAAATAATTAAATTTTGTAATCTAGCTGTTGATTTGAAATGTGCTCTGTCCGTTTATTCAAATTAATACATTTTTTGTGTTTTTAAAGCAAATAGCAGTTGATAATGCAGTAGTTTCTGGGTACTATGTTAAGTACTTTACATATATTTAATCTTCATAGTTGGTATTATTTTTCTGTTTTTACAGACTAGAAAATTGATGTTTAAAGA